TTAGACTGATGAATAGCACATAATCCTAGAGTGACAGGATTCAGTCCTGGTAGTTTTTTAAAAGGACACGGGGATATGTGTTAGAGAGAGAGAAGCAGAGGGCAATATAAACAAAACGGCTGATTCAAAGTTAAGTTATTACCGTCAGAGATTTCCCTAAAAGTCCTTGAGTGTTCTCTTTTAAAATATATCTGAATCATTAATCTTTCTGGGCCAGGCAGATTTTTAAATTGCATTTCAAATTCAATATTCCATAAAGAGCACAGAAATAGTAAATAGTATAGTTTTTCTTTTAATCATTCAGAGACTTAGTAAAAATAATTTTGTTTTCAACTTGTGCATTCTTCTGCTTTTGTATTTCCTCTTCTGAGTGGTGGCAGGTCACACTAATGGGGCTTCTGGAAGAAGTCCATACTTTTTGCAATCAGTTGAGAAAAAGCTTGAAAATTCATGGGGAGGTGATCCTCCACCTGGATCACTTGTGTCTACCCCAAATGAGACAGCTACTGCACCACTTGTGACCAATTGCATTGAAAACTCTGAATTTTTGTCTCAGTAGAATAAAAATTATATTTATTCATGGGAGTACTTTGTGCTAAAAATTATTATCAAAAGCAAAAAAATGAAGTTAAAGCATATATTGCAAAATGTAGAGAAAGAAATATTTGTATCTATACAAATAGATAACTCTGGCTCTCCTTTTACTCCTAAAGTTCTCCCCCTTATTTTTTTTCCTCTCTGATTTTAAAACCACTGTAGTTAAAGTAAGAAAGTTGGGAAGACAGAAGACCAATTTTAGGCATGGTACAAGCAAATGCAGCTTCTGTTTCTTGGGCGTTATGTTTGCTAACTCCAGAGTAAGTTTAGCCTGTAACTGGTACTGCTGAAAACTGTGGCAAGCAGAATTTGCATGTTTGCTTTCAAGGCAGCTGTGATAATAGCAGCCTAAATAGTTGCTCTTTCTTGGTCTTCCTTACAAAAATTATTTACTGCATCCACCAGTGAGGGGATTTGGCATAATGACGCTGCCTCGGTACAAGGCAATATCCTAAGCTGCTCACAGGTGTTGGATCCAAAGCCTCAGGAAAGTGAAGACTTCCAGAGAAGGTGTACCTTCTCCAGACTGTTGCATAAACTTGATGTGGAGGCCGAGTGGCAGCCCTGTGAGTTCTGACCTCCTGCAGTCTCTCCCACAAAGAAGAATCTCCCAGTTTGTGTGGCTGTCTAATGACCTTGCTTGAGCAGCAGGAAAATCCACAGGCACAACACAACTGTGTCAGGAATGTGTCTGACACAGGTTTTCATGACAGTGTGGATGTGATGAGCTCTTGATCAAAGGGTCCTGCATAGAATTTAGTGCTTTGCCTCAAATATGTAAAAAATGTCTTAGCTTTAGGTTCATAGCATCATTAAATGGCTTGGGTAGAAAGGGACCTTAAAGATCACCTAGTTCCAGCCCCCCTGCCATGGGCAGGGAGAGCTTCCAGTAAACCAGGTTGCTTAGAGCCCCATCCGACCTGGCCTTGGAGCACTTCCAGGGACAGCACATCCACAACTTCTCTGGGCAACCTGTTCCACTGCCTCACCACCCTCACAGTAAGCAGTTTCCTCCTAATATCTAATTTAAACTTACCCTCTTTCAGTTTGAATTTATTCCCCTTTGTCCTTCCCTCTTTCCAACATGCCCTTGGAAAAAGTCCACCTCCATCCTTCTTGTAGGCTCCCTTCAGGCACTGGAAGGCCACAATTAGGTCACCATGAAGCGTTCTCTCCAGGCTGAATAATCCCAATTCTCTTCAAGTTCCTATTCTTGAAGTCAAGCTTGCCCTGTAGCTTTCAGACATTGTTAGTGAAGTATCTGAGAGCAGGCAGCTAGACCAAACAGGAGGCTAGAAATTGTAAATGACATTTGCTTGACCACCCCTCTTCTTCGGGATTACTTTGGGAGTTGGATGGGTTTGTTTTTTTTAATGGATGAAAAGTCAATCTTTCTTGCAATGCTACTGATACCTTCTGTGTTCTTTCTCCATTATGAGACAAAGCTAGAGGCTAAGTTGCTGTCTGGCATTTCCCAGGGGCTGTGTTCACATCACATGCAGAAGGTCCAGGCTCTCAATGGCACGATCCCCTCCATGCATCCCAGACTGCATCAGTCATCTACCTTATACAGTGCAAAAAAAATCCCCACCTAGAGGAAAAAGGACTCAGATAAATGTCTGTTATTTACAATATGCTTTGATCCCTACAGTGTCTCTTTTCTTGTGAGCTTTTTTACTGCAGAAAATTTGTCATCTGTCCCAGCCCTTAGAATGCACAATTTTAAGGGACAGACAAATCCACTTGAGTTTTCAGTGACAGCACTGGTTTTCTCTAAGTCCTCATCCTGAATTTTAATCTCCAGTAAAACAAAATAGTTAGATTTATTTGGCATGTTTATTAGCAATCAAGCCTACAAATGTGCCCTTCTGGTTGAACTCAGTAGACTCACAGCTTTGTGTAATTGAGACTGCAGCATGACAGAGAGTTCTGCTACGGCTTCACATATTGATCAGTCCAATTTAATTTCCTCATGGGACCTGAACCACACTAGGGATGGGGGATTGTGTTGAAGGCTTGATAAGCCTGTTTTAACAAAGCATCTCAAGGGCTTCTGGAACAGAGGCAATTATCAATACTGATACACGTTTCCTTTCTTCAAAAGGTAGGGGCTCATTAATAGGCGGCACAACTGCTGCTGTTTGCAACAAATTACTTTTTTTTTTAATTAACTTGGAGATACTGCTTCCTCACCTGTTTACTTACTAGTTGGCTGTTTCCAAAAGGAAAAGAAATTGGGTTCCAGGTTTTGATCTTACTGGTATATGTGATAGCAGTATCTTCTGCTCTACTATATTCACTATTTTGGTAATTGAAGCCTAGATTATATTTTAGAGTAATAGTCCCATCCCACTGCTTCTGCCCATGTCGGAGCAACCCACGCCAACAAATTCTGATGTTTTACAACTTTTGAATTTTGTGGCAAGTTACTGATGATATCTGCTATTTTTAATGTTAGTATTACTGGTTAAATAGTCTCCTGTTACAGCTTTGGCAGTCAGCATTTTTGTTTGTCACTGAATATTTCAAAAATGTTTTTAAATTGTCCTTTTTTTTAGGCTCTCAGTTATGAGAAGGAAGTTCATTGTTACTTCCTATTGTTTTATCTTTACTATGTAAAAATCCTAACATTTCATTTATAACCATTTTGGTGTAGGTGTGTTGTGGGTGTTAAATTCATACTGCTCTTTAATGCTGCAAATTGGGTGTATGGAAAGAAAACATCATCAAGGCAATCTGCTTTGTTAAACCCGATTTTAAACACAGTTTTCGGATCACTAGCTGGAAGTTTAGTGCCTTACAGAATGGTCATCCTTAGCTAATAGCAGTTGCTTTTGTTTTGTTTATTCACCAGGAAACAATTTAAACCATTTAATAGCAGCTATCGTGTTTTCTGATTTCTTTTCCATTTCACACTCATTTTCTCAATAATTAGCACAGTTCTGCTCGTTAATGCATGAATTGAAAGCAGCAGCAATACATTGCAAGGAAATTGGAAAAATCTTTGTTTCTAAGCATAGATGATTGTGGGTGAGTGAAACATACAAAAAATTGGAAAGGTAACTGGGTTGCACCAAATGCAATTGACCAATGAGCCAAAGTCTGGAATGTGCTCAAAATGTTATTTTGTGTGTTTGCTGCATCATGGTGAGTGGCACCTTTACCTGGTTTTTCTTCTTTTCTTGATGTCTGAATTTTTAGAATATTTTTTTCAAGGAAATTTGCTGTTTTCATGATAATAAAGAAATATTCAGCACTGGTAGCTGTTGCCTAAAATTGCAAGTCAACTGTCTCTAAGGAGATCAAAAATAGGAAATTTGATTAAAAGAGATACATTTTAGTTCTCTATCTATCCTGGAATTCTTTTAAAGTTGTGAGTCATTTTCATTTACTGGAGTTCATGGTACTGGAGGCCCCATGAGTGTTTAATAGGAGATGGCTGGTACCATTGCTGTCCCCCAGGCTGCTGTTTACTGTCCGTTCTCTTCCCTCGTTAGTCATGACTGAAATGCGAAGATGAGTGGGTTACTGTAAAATGCCTTCAGCAATGATTAATGATTAGTTCAGATTAATCACCTTATTTTGCAAACACTGGAGCACTGAAAGAACAGTGATGGTGTGAGAAATCCCCTAAACTTACCTAATATTAAATATATTCTGGATTTAGTTCTGCAAACATACAGATGGGGCCAATTCACACATTCCTAGTGATGCAATGGAGCCAACGAGGAGCGCCTTGGATTTCAGTGGCCTATAGTCATTAATAAAACTGTGCCATTCAGAGTGGTAGGTCGAATGTCACAGATTAGCAGGATTAAGAGCAGCTTCAATATAATTTATTTAGGGCTTTGCTTATTTCCTTAATTCTCCACCCATGTTCCTCTTGTTGGGGTCTGTTATGTGCCACAACCACTGCGGACACCTTCTCAAACCATTGCACAGGGGAGGAGGAGCAGAGTCGAGTCTGCTTTTTAGGCAGGGGTTTTAATTGCATTCATATTTTAAAGGTCATTACTGCAATATGTGGTTTATGCTAGAGAATAGAAATTTAGAAATGAACTATTTTTAGGAACATACAGTGCTGGGGAAAAAAATAGATCATTTGATTCTAAAGTGGAAGGCAATTATGTAAACATTATAACACATGGGAATGTTCCCTATACCTGGGACATGCATTGCATAAATATTTCTTCATAAAACTGAAATAAATGTTAATTAAAGTCCTAAATATTGGGACAGTAACAATGTTTATCATTGCTTTTAAACCTTAATGGTGTGTTTCATTATGTCCCTCACTAATTTTGGAAACTGAGGCCGTGAAATGTGAAATCATTTCTTCTTTTAATAAGGTAAACTATCTCATATTAAGTAATGCTATTTATATTCTATCCTTAAATCTCTAGGTGCTGAAGTGTTGTATATGAACATGTCTGCATACAATGAAGGTCGGCTTCAGTCGTCGTTCTGGATTGTTGATAAACAGCACGTATACATTGGAAGTGCCAGCCTAGACTGGAGATCGCTGGGACAGGTAACTGAATTGAAAAACTAATCCTATACCCTTTGAGAGTATAATGAGAAAAAAAAGTAGCATTTTGAGGACACTTGGATAACTCTATTTTCTGATAGTTTACTGGTAAAACTGCTAGCATCAAAAAGTGTACTGCCACAATTTTGATGACTCTTCTGTGTTGGCAAGAATGTACTACTATAAATTTTGCTTCCTTTTATTATAACAGCTGTCTTCCATGGTTATGCTTAAATTTTAAATATTTGATTGTTTTTTATTGATTTCTGTGATGGTCATTGTATGTTCCAGTTTACTTTAAAAAAAAAAAAAAAAGGGAGCAAACCTATTGGTTAACAAACCACTATGGAAACTCTATTGTGATATCATGGGCAAGATGTAGTGCCTCTGATTTGCCATTTAAAAAGCAAACCCCAGATTTGGAAAGACTTCCAAATGGATAATGGGTATTATACTGGAATACCCACTACCTTTGGGGAGGGTCAGATTTAGGGGTATAGAATGTCAAGTAGCATAATGCTTTTGAAGGCTGACTGTATTAGAGAGAATTCCACATTTTTATTCCTCATAAACATGGCAGTGCTAACAACTCTGTGCAGTCTGTGACCATTTTGAGGAATTTGTCAGTAACACAGCTTATTTGCCTTTTTGTAGGTATGTGTGCCTATTTTTATTTCTGCAACAGTTTCAGGATTATTAGTGGCTGTCATGTTCATTTTTGCTATATACCACCTGTGTGAGGCTGCTTTCAGCCACACTTATGGAGTGAAACCTGTACTTTGAGATCTCAGTAACTGAAAAGCACAACAGAGAGGGAAAAACAGCAGTCCTAGATAGTTATTAGTTGCTATAAAAAAAGCTTGCTTTCTAAATGTGAGCAGAATCTCAGAAACACAGGAATATTTTGAACATGATGATGTTCTAATGATTTTGGAAGGAAGAACGTGCGTCTTGGTTGTGCTGAACTTTTTAATATTTGTTTTCAGCTAAGACTGGAAGTCTGACTAAAAGCAAATTAGCCAATTTAGTAAAGAAAGTGAATAAATGCATTTTTGCTTCTCTTATGATATTAATTTACTTGAATTGTATGTTTACAAAGGAATCTGGAACAGTGGTAGAAAAAACAATGTTGTTAGAGAAAATCTTGGAAAAGAGGATGTTGTATTTCCAGGCAATGTAATAAAATACAGTTTGGGCTTTTGGACAGTTCAGAAAATGTTTTTACATTATCTCTGCCTCATGAGCTAAACTCTTCTGTCATAACAAAATAGCTCTTCATAGGATTTATTTAGCTTATAAATAGTTTGTCTTTGAAGCCTCTTCTATTTGGGGGTTTGAGTACCAGTGAAAATAATAAATGTGGGGGAAAGAAGCACATTTACCACACAGATAATTATATTATTTATATATTCCTTATGTATTTATAATCTTCATCACAGATTATATGATTCCATATAGATTTACTCTTCTCAGGCTGAAGTAAATCTAAAATCTTGTAACATACTCGCATTAAACTTTGATGCCAGTTACTTGTAGGCTGATATTTCAAAAGTGATTCCTGGATGTTAATTTTATCACTCTTTCCTGCATGCATTTGGACTTGTTTTAATCTTATTGTCATGTATAACAGTATATTTTTATATGTAGTTTTAAGATGAAGCTCAGAAGAATATTTGTACAATGCAAAAAGAAATCTCTCTGCATTATGGTAAAATAGAATCTGCTTTCAGTTAGTTGAGAAATGTATGCTGGGGTTTCAGAGGAGCCAAAGGAAATTAGATGCTTGGCTCCTGTTGATGCCAGATATGAGTGTCTGATTCCCTTACCCCAGAGTTGCAGGTTAATAAATCAGGGTGACTGTCAAAGAGATCTGATATGCTGTCCTAAAATAATAATCTGTCTTGAACTTTCCTTTTCACATAATAAGCAAAATAAGCACAGAACTCTGTCATTTTATTTTGAGTCCTTTCCTCAAGCAAAATGCTTTGCACATGTGTGGGACTTAATCTTAAAACCCACGGTGAGCTGAGCCCTCTCTGGGGAAATGTATCTCCCACGGGTTCTCATTATCAGAGTCTCAGTATAGCTGCAAATGAGGGATCAGCTCCCTCTTCTCTTTCTCACTTTCCTCTGTTGTCCCTTTGCCTGATACTAAAAAAAAAAAAAAAACAAAACCAACCAAACAAAAAAAAATCCAAGTCTGTTTAGCATCATTTGTCTCTTAGGAGACTAAATCTAAAGCTGAAACAATAATTTAACTTTTAACAGCTCCATGGAAAACATCATCAGGACTTAAGTGCTTTGGGTTTGCAGTATTTGTGGAGAATTCTTTGTGTTTATAAGCTGGATACTATAAATCAATCACATATGAAGTTTATTTAGTTTTGTTGCCATTTTCTTGACTTGCCAGCACTGACAAGAAGCAATGAGAGTATTTTCTTAAAAGTAAATTTTCTGCATCAAGGAGAGATTTTCATATGCTGCAGATATTACTTAAGAATAGCCTTTAAAGTTGCAGAAATCCTGTGCCTCTGCTGGCAAAGTTTTAATACTTGCCAGAGTCTCAGCTTTGAAATTATGAGCAAGGATAAGAGCACATTATTACTTTTCAAGTAAAACTGTGTTTCAGTTAAATTGCAAGTTTGTCAAACTGTAGTAATTCTAGCTGAAATCATCTATGCCAGCTATCTGCTTCAGTCTGAAATCAAACCCCACAGTGAAATATTAAGTACTTGTTTAGAGTTCCTGAAAGCAGGATTTTACAAAAATAGGATGGTTTGTGTCCATAGTGGAATATTTTGAATTTTTCTTTGTACAGGTCTGGAATTTTGCATCTTTTTCTATTTTTATCAATATATCCAAATATTACCTAATTACATAACCCATTGAAAGTTGAGGATTATGAACAACCAGAGTTTTGCCACTTTCTTAGATATAGTAAGCTCTGTAAGATTTTACCAGTGAAATCATCTAGCTTCTTGCTGGTAAATTTATACATACTGAGAAACAACTAAAAAATGAGTCACTCAAACATGCTTAAAAGTGTGTATGTATACTGATTAATTTTTTTCCTGTGGCTTGAACTAATGGCAATCAAGATGGCAATGGTGCTGTATTCTAGTTTCTAGTTCCTTGACCCAGTAGCTTATTATTACTTCATAAAAGAAATTGGTTATATAAAAATTGTTACAATCCATAAGCTAATGAAACGTATCATACATTTCTTTTGTTCCATGACTCCCTCCAATAATTCCAGCAAAGCTTGAAAATGCATTTATCTCCTTAATTCTGTTAAGGAGCATGAGGTTTGTAATACATATGAACATTTCTGGAGCTTTTTATACTAGCAACATTTTTGGAAAAGTTTTATTCACGCATGAATAATTGAATCTAGTGGGCAAACAACTGTAATGGATTAGTTGAACCACTTCAGAAAAATGCATTAATGTGCAACAAATAATCAGCTTTTGGAAAATGCTATTACTGAAAATTCCTGAAACAAGTAAAATTAATCCAATTGTCTTCACTGGAAGTGAAATCAGGCTAATATTAGCTAGTCTTGTTGGCAAAAAAATTAGTTTAAATTATGAATACCACCAGTACCAGGTAGTTGAGTGTATGAGTGAAGGTTAGTGATCAAATTCAAACCTTCAAGGTCTCAAGTAGAAGCTTGCTGTTTGCTCCTTGGAATTGTGGAGTCTGACTGTAAACATCTGGCCTGAAGGGAAGTGGCTTGTCTGGGGTTCCAGGAGGAAGTGGTTTTGACACTAAGGAGGGAGACCCGAACAGAAAAAGGTGAAGTTCCTGACTGGAGGAAAAGTCCTTAAAATGGGAGAGATCCTGGAGATTAGAGAGCTGTGGGTAAAATGGAAGCCAGGGGATGCACCAAAGCCACTGGCTGGTGATGCCTGAGACAGGTGAGCAGACACGCAGCAGGGATGGACCCAACGTTCTGCTCAGCATCTGGGGCCAGCAGCCCCTTCCCTGCAGGAACAGAGATATGGATGGACAGTGTGAAATAATCAAGCAGTAGCAAAAGCTTCCATTGTGTTGGTTCTTAAACAAATCCCAATATCTGGAGCCACCTCAGGTAATCATTTGTCATTTGCTCTTTCTTCCCTAGAACATCTTAAAAACATTATCTCAAAAATTCCTGCTTAAATTTTGGCTCAGCTGATGTTGAGGCAAAGTTCCTAAGCATGATTTTTTTCTCTTAGCTGTATAAAATCTGCTAGCAGAGGATTTTTATTCCTAAGATGCCTTTTAAGTCTCATGTATTTTCTGGATTGTTTGTTATTCTGATCATTTAAATTCAGATAAATATAAGCTGAATGGCTGCTAGACTTAATTTTTTTTTTAAGTAGCAAAACCAACCAGGCTGTAAAAATCACAAGATTTTTTTATCCTTTGAAAGGATTAAAAACCCAACCAGGCTGGGAAACATTTGTTCTTTAAGGACAAAAATATAACCAAGTGATCTTTTTTCATTTTCCCAATAATTTCATGTCTCTGTTGGATTCTTTGTGTGATTTGTGTTACCAATATAAGTAAGACTTCAGAAAGGCATTTGATCTTAATCTTAAAAATCCATCAGGATTTCCTTGTCAGTCAGTTTCCTCTCCATCCTCCTCTTACTCTCTTGTTGTTATGAGTTACAAACTGCTAATTTTATCTACATAATTTAAGGTAACTGGGAAATTAGATAAACTGTCCCAACAGTTTTTGTCAGGTTGGTGTTTAATCTGAGGAGTTAGTTTTTTATTTGATGTACCTAAGATGTTAAATAAATACCCAAGGGGGCAAAAGTACTGTACAAGGTGAGATGTGACTGCGTGTGAATGAGAAACTCTCTGTGAGCTGTTTTTTCCTTATGGTTATTAGTATTTAAAACATACTTATCTCATTAGTATTGAGTCCTACAGCACATGAAAGTTGTAGCAATTACGAATTTTTTGGTTACATTTGAATGATAAGGAAAAAAGTTGTTCATTTATTCTATTAAT